ATGCCCGAAGTCTTTAGGGCCCCAGGACAGAAACCCTCAGCCATCTATTGAAGAAGAACAGCAGTAGGCCTAGACCAAGGATGGAAGAGGTAGCTTCAGCTGTTGTCAGGACAGCCACAGGTAGCACAAGAGCCACCCCACTGACTCCTGACTTCTTACTTACTATGTACTGCAGTGGTTCTGAAGTAACGGACAGTGAAGACACTGGAGCTATTTACTCTGCAGAAAGAGAGAAAGATATGAACACAGAACTATGTTCTTCTGCAGGCTGCCAGCACCAAGCTCAAGTACAGAATTTACATTTGCTTAACTGATCTGAAAGGCTGCTCAGCTGTTCTGATGTATTTGTTTCCAAGGGACTCCTACTTACTGTTCAAGATGCAACGATCCCACTAAGAAAGGAAGCATTACAGCTTACCATCACTAGTGCCCTCAGAAACTCTGTGAGAACTGACATTTATTGAATTTTAATTTAGGGGGACAACCCGACAGAAACCCTGTGGTTTAAATACTCATAATGGGCTGACCTAGCCAGCCCACCCTATGCCCAAGACTAGTGCAGTAATCATTTTTTACCTCCAGATCAGGACTGTCATCTCTATGGAAGTTGCTAGATTGCTCAAAAAAAAAGAGAAAGCACCATAAACTGCCTACAGCAATGCATCCAAGAGACGCCTATTTCTCTCCACCATGTCCCTTTACAGGGAGCTGGCAATCCTAAGCATTCCAAAGGATGTTTTTAATACCTACTGATGCCACATTTGGAAACCTGAAGTAAACATGCATTTCCTCTAACACAAGCTACTTGATGCAAACAGACCGGCATCCCCAAGTACGTTTTTACAAGACCACCTCAGCAATGCAAACCTTGCCATATGAACAACGGCTCCCCGAACCACCCTACCTCTCCTGACAGAAATTTTACCAGGAGGCCACTATAGATCAAACAAGACTTCTAGTCAGATAATCAAAGAGTAGGAATCCATTTATCACCAGTCTCCTTATTCCTGTCCCTTCCCTGCCCCAGTATCTGGTTCCAAACAAAGCTTACTTTCTTTAAGCATGACACAGCTCCTGACCTGCAAAACCTAGATTTTGTTAGGGCTAGCTCTACGCTCCTATGAAGTGCGCAGGCATTTTGTGACAGCCAACCATATTCTGCCTCCCAGCCCCCAAATCTTATCAGGGCTAGAGCAGCCCCAGCCTCTCCATATCGCAGCTTTCCTGGGGATACTTACACGAGCTTCCTGCTGTTGGTGTAAGCGAGCCCCTGGCTCCCAGCCACACCTGTGAATGAGAATAGTGTTACCCCACAGGAACATTATCCAGCCATCAAGCCCACAAGTGTCCCCGTCAGGTAAAAGAGTGCAGAGGACACCACTGTCCACCCTGAAAGAAGCTTGGGACTACGTGGGGAATATAGCCATATAGAGGCACCTCGGTGCCATCAAACCTGCTCAGAGCTTGCCAAGAACAGTGGTCTTGTCTTCATCTAGATTTATAGAGATGGGAAAAACAGTTATATCTTGACCTCAAAGCTAATAAGGGTAACTTCGAAAAGGGCAAACAAAACAGCAACTACCCCAGTCAGAATGAAACCAGGAAACAGCTACGAGGGACACCTCCAGGACTGCTAAAACCGCAGTTGCTGCCAAGTTATCCTCACCAGTACAAAGGGGTTCCTAATAGGAGCAAGGCATCAGCCCCCTAAGAGGCACCCCCAGGAAGCTTAACAGTTGCATGGACAGGTTAAGGAGGAAAAAAATAATTAAAATAGGGTTTAGGGCAGAGTAGCAAGCCACCATCATCCCTCTTCTCTGTCCACCCCCTGTCCCAAGAACACTTCTTTTCCAAAACTCAGAGCAGGGAGGTACTTGCATAGCTTCTCAGTTTCACATACCCCACTGCCCCCTTCCCACACTGCTCCTGTGCCCTGACACTGCAATTTTTATTACAACTGAACTCCTGTCCTTTGTCTCTTTCAGGGCACTGGGCAGTTTTCCAGACTGATCTTAAAGAGAGTCAGTGTAGCAACTGGAGAACGTAATTATCTCAATCACACAATGCCAGAACCATTTCCCCACTTGACTTTTAAAAGAAGCGATACAATTTTGACACCAACCCCTACCAAAGAGCTGATATTGGAACTCTAGAAACTGGAAAAGGTAAGCAGATATAACTGGTTTCTCAAAGTGGAATCAGAAGTGAGTGATGTAATGTTATATAAACATAGTACAGCTAGAAAAAAGAGCACTCTGGGAAAATTCAGTTTAACCACCGAAGGGGAGTTCACAGGCATACTAGATTTGACATGTCACTTAACATTCACCCATCATTTTCAAAGGAGTTTATTAGAGAGCTAGGCTCTGCAACAGTATGTGTAAAGCACTGCAATGCTTGCGATACATTGTGCTGCTGCTGTGAAACCTTCACCAGAGCCGAATGGATCGGGCCGCATGTACATTAGGCAAGGGAGGCACTCACATGGAAACACAGCTCATTTTACCAACTGTTTCTTCATTACATGATTGACAGAAATAAACCCCAATCAAAACTATTACCAATTTCCATCATCAGCTCTGTTCTGTTTAGGTAGTTTGAAATGAAATAAAAGTGTAAGACTCACCAGAGAGAGAGCATCTTGCCAGAGTACAGTTCCCCTGCCAGAGAGAAGAGGGACTATCAGTATCGCAAAAAGACAGACACACCCTAGAAGGACTTTGGCTTTCCCATGAGACCTGGATCAGAGACGGGACCCACCATTCCCATGCTCCAGACTGCAGGCAATGTTACTTTCCCATAGCGTGCAAGAGCAGGAGGTGGTGAGAGCATCTATACCCTTCTCTTTGCTTTGTCTCCTTTCAGGATGCTTTCCTGTGGAGTGATGTTAAACCTGATGCACTTGGTTTGCAGCTGTGGCTCCAGCTGTTTTAACCTTCTCAAGCACAGTTTCCTCTTTAAGAATGAACAGATTTCTAAAGAATCATTCGCTACAATTTGCTATGAATGGAAGGTCAAGGGTAGCTACTGGGTACAATGAAAAAAACATCCCATGATGTTTACTCCTACAGTCATGAATGCAGCATCTGGGGTTTGTTTGTTTGTTTTAAGGCTATGGAGCCTTTGAACTCCAGAATGCCAGAATTTCCCTCGGTGGCAAAATTTCTACTGTCTTCAGTGAGCCAGGAATTCCACCTTCTGGTGATGTTTCCCTTCATACCCGTGTAATCACTGACTGCACTCCTAGCTCAGTGTAACACTCTTCAAAAGTAAGACATTTCAAAACATTCCAGTGACTTTCCCTATTGTTATTATGCATTTCTCTAGCATCAAACCTGCAGATCTGTAGAACCTAAGAACTCTCCAAAAGCTATAGGAAAGTATCACAGTAACCATGACTAAAATGCAGTTGACTCATTTGGAACAACAGCTACTCAACAGCTCAAAGCACCCTTATCCAGCAGCTAAGGTAAGAGGTAAAAAATAGGTTTCATTCACATCTTCAATGTCTGAAGGGAAGTTTGCATATAAATCCAGATTTCAGCTTCACCAGAGCAAGCAGGATGGGCTATAACTGATCAGAAATATCAAAATTTGTGGAGCTGTGTGTGATAAGACAACACAGAAATCAAGGACCAAGGAGATACTTAGACTTGTCACACTGTCTACAGGATTGAGTGCTATAGCATGCAAAAATACATTCAGTGAACACTTCATATCATCAAAACTACTAACAGGCCTGGAATCGACCCCTTGGCAGTTTAATTATCCAAACTTACTGATAGATTAGGCTTCTCAGATATTAACGCACAGTCAGTTCAGTGATCGATGGGCGGTTCAACAGGGTTATGATTAGCTGTGCTGAGGATGCAGGCAGCCAGGCTGACCTGCTGCTAAGCCAGCCTGGGTCTGGCAGAGCCCAGGAGCTCCAGCATAGCACCATGCAGACACCCTGCTTGCCGGTCCACTGCAGGGACCAACGATCCTGGACTGACAGTCCTGCAAAACCGGCTTTTGGCAGGGCCTGCTGGAGCCCCTGCCCCAGGTCCGTCTGGGGAAGGGAAAGCAAAGAGCACCATGCAGAATCTTTGCAGAGTCATCGTGAACACTACAATGCTTCATCTTGGTGCAGCACTGGCCCCCTGCTAACTCAGATCTGGTTTGGCCAGAGCCAGCCCTAAGCTGGGATCAGTAAGACAAACTTCAACCTAACTCTGCTTGGTCAAGCATCTAAAGCACCACAATTTCAGCACATATGTTAGTTCCTGTACTGATCAAATTCTTCCCACTTTCTGAAGTGTCACGGATAATATGAAGTCAATCACAAATAAAATATCAAGTGACCTGAGCTCCCCTATGCCCATTAATGGTTTTCTGGGTGCTTTATAAAAAAAGTGGTTAAAGGTATTCCTAGCATCCCAGACAATAACTTGTTAAGAAAGAGGAACAGCCTCAGACTGAAGCAGAAACAGCCAATTTTATTTGCTCAGGACCAGTTTACTGTAAGGTTAAAAAAAAAAGAAAGTTTAGAAGGCCTGTCTTAAAATAAACTGTTGTGAGAAAATACATCTGCAGCTCTCTTCCATGAGAGGTGCCAAGTCTGTGTTCCACAACTGCTGTAAAATTAAGGAAAAAATTGGTATCACTCTACTCTTCTGTCTTTTAGGTTAAGAAATGAGGGAAA